AGTCTGTTAGCAAGCTGACAACAACAGTTAAAAATTTTGCAACTTTAATAAATTATCTTCCGATAAATCCGTTACTTTTTTATGTTCACTACCGGGTTATTGACAAATATTTATTTGCTATTCCACTAATAAACGATAAGGGCGATGTTTATCTGAGGGTGACATGTACAAAAACGCACAATGGGCCGACCTGTTCGACATGCATAAACAATGGGTGCGCGCTCAACGGACGGGTCAAATGAGGCGCGGCGTCAAATCTCGGGTTGCACTCCGATGGCGCCGGTCGACACATTCGAGAACTTAGCACACCCACTAAAACTCGACAAAAACAACAATGCACCAAAAGTTAGTCGACATGCTTCACTTCACAAAGTAACAAGGAACCCAAATGAATCCGCCGCGTAATCGGCTTTGGCGCGAGCACTGTGAGCCTAAATTATTAGTTGATAAAAAGTCAAATATGGTAATTGACAGCGCCGTTTAGACAATGCTGTAGTTAGTAAAGAGTAAGAACTCATCAGATAAAATTTTGTTTTTCAAATTTCTCATCAAAATCCTTGACCTGATTCCATGAATACCATTTCTTTCTTGATATTCATTATCAGATGGGAGAAGTTTTTAATCTATCACTGAAAGTTTTTTTTTATTCATTCAATAGACTCCTTAGCTGGCGTCATGATGAAAGAAGATGCAGGCAAGTTTCCAGTCCTTTTCTAAATCAATAATGATAATATGGTTATTATTCTTATCTTATTACTGTAATTATTTCTTCTTAAATTTCTCATTAAACAAAATATTGTAATAACATATATCTGTATATGGAGCTTAGATTAGTAGTAAAAACTACGTTATTGATATTTATTGTATAGAACCATTCTAAATAGTAAAATATTAAACAGATAACTCCCTAAGAGTATGCAAATGACAAAGATCTAGATTTAGTTTTATTGGTCAATTAAATGTCACTACACACATGGTGCTGTATACAGTAAATTTAAAAGGCGGTAAATCATTTGGAGGATCACTGTCTTAATTAGACTGAGAGATGTCAACGAAGCCAATGCCTTGCACAGGAATAAATCAGGACTTAAATTGCTTTCCGCAACGACACTCCTACCGTCGACTGGGCGTTAATAGCGCGTGCAACGGAAATCTTAGACGAATGTTTGGAAATATTTTTTATGTTGAAATAGAATCCCCGTCTACACACAGGCGCCACTAATAAAAAAGAAACCATAATAGTATTAGTTTTGAGTCATCGATTTGCTGAAATTTCGTAATAAATAATCCAGTACCTACTCTCGATGAAGCAATAAGAAAATAAATCGCCCTGCAAGTTCATTTAATTGATTTAGAGTAAACGTATAAATTTAAAGTTACCGATACAAATGCAATTAACAATACGATTATTGGACTGTATCTATATAACTGTCGAACGGCAACTAAGGTTCGATGATTTGGATTTAATTACCCGGATCATCAGCTCCGCCCCAATCGAAACGAAGAGTCGTAAATCAAGAACAATATTACTGAGCTTCGTGTGTTTATTGACTAAACAAATATTTATCAACACAATTACAAGATCGTTAAGAAATAAATAAATATTGTTGTTAGGGCTTATACAGATCAAAAGAGCTGCACGAAAGAATGTTAATGTGTTTTTTGTACAATTTGCTAACAATAAAAGGAGCGATTGTTTATCTGGTATTTTGTGTGCTGGTGCCATGAAATCCGTGAGTCATATAATCTCTAATATAACAGACTTTATCTGATGTTTCCTTATCTTAGTTTGTAATACGAGAAGGTTTTGTTATTTCTCAGCCTCGATCAGCCCTTATTTTTTTCATTTCAGGGACTCTATGATTATTAAATTTAGTGAAACTAAAATGAAAAATATACTATGTAATTACAAAAATACTACTTAATAATGATAAAACGTAACTTTAGTACTATGTATAATTGTTACGAAATTTCGATATTTCTACTATTACTTTGACTCCTAATACAAGTATGTACATCTTATGATGCGAGATAAATTATGTGAAAACAGGTATGTCGTACAATGCCAAAAAGTTTAGAAGCTAAACTAATTCATATCAAACTAATCACTTTGAGGGTATTAAATAATGTTTAACCAAAGCTCTTTTAGATAGGAAGTAATGTTGACATATTAAATATCTTGTTTCAAAGAGATACAAGGAAGACGCGCAATAAAAAGTATTATAAGAACCCACACAGAGAGACGTTGCCACAAATCTATAATTCTATCAGCAGGTCGGCCAAATACGAAAATAAGCATCAAAGTATTTTTTAGAGGAAAGACGACAAATGTCCACAAGCAAGGCTCAGTAGCTAACACATGTTACATATTGTCAGACAATATTTACTGTTGCTTTATTAACTCGAGAGGCGGATAGAAGAAAATGAATTTAACCGACGTTCTACATTTTAAAGCACGTGTTATGAGCAATACACATTGGTTGACTAATTGGAAACAAATTCAAGCGCCCAATTTTTTTGGTTGACAAATAAAAAATAATAAGATTTTACTCAACAAAACTTTAATTACTTAAGATACTTATAACAAATATAAAACTAAAAACGGAAATCTTACGAGACAAATGTTAAGTAATTTCATTAAGTAAATTTAACAACTATTCACAAACTACGAGGGGGATACCAATAAAATCCAAATCGAATTGCTCCGACCCTTGATTTACAGCGAATCAATAAAAGAGAAGGCTATCATTACCTTTTTTATTACGTATTCAATAAAAGCAACGTACTCGGTAATCAACATGAAGTCAAAACAACAAGTTTAAAAAGTAAACAACTTAAAAATGGTGGTGCTGAAATACTATATTTTTTTTTAATGGTGTTACTATATATGGTTACATACAACATAAAAAAGTTAAATATAATAATTTAACACGAAAGGAGTAATAATAAATCTATTTAAGTTTGATTATTAACACTTTAGCCTCATTATTCATAAAAACTAAAAATATTTATATTTTACTTTTACAGTTTCCACTAATTCAGAAATTATTCTAGTTTTTAAATATCACTAGCTATATTTTCAATTTACTGGCGTCACTAAATGTCGTTTATATATGTCTTTCTCCAAACTACATCTATGCCAAATTTTATGACGAGTTTAAGTATTTGTTAAGATGACAAAAAGTAACACATAATTTCACTTTCCCAATTATAATATTCGAATGGATTAAAATTGTTCTCAAAATTAGATATATTTGGGGATTGTAATTTACTAACCGTTTTCAAATAAATCAGTAAAACGGTATTCAGAATTAGCGTTGGTCGATTTATATGACGTCTATATATTAAGTGTGCGAGTTGAAACAGCGTAAACACAATAGTGTAATAGAAAAAAATGGGTTCTGAGAGATGGCTCATAAAATAAAACAAGGGACTACGTCCGGAGATTATGTCAAGATAGCATGCGGCGGGGGGCGCACGCCCGGCGCCGGTCGTGCCCCAAGACCCAATTAGAAGCACACCTTTTGGACATGTGGTCTTTCATGGCGCTAACTAACGCCTAAAAACTCAAGGATATGGGACAACTACATCCGTTATCGTTTATCACTTGTTTTAGATTATCATGTACATTATTTCCGCCACGCTTTGGTTAGTAAGTTTGGTCAGCAAAGATTTTTCACATCATTAAACTAATATTTCAATGAATTGGTATGATATTTTAACACTATAAAAGTTGAATTTTAAAAATAATCTCTAAAACAGTTAATTACCTAAATATAAGTAGAGTATACCATTTCAGCTATAATTGCAATTAAATCTTAAGAGTTACAAATTTATACAAATTCACTATCACTGAATTTGAATGAATTTGTTTTGTCGGTGGTCTCCAAGTAGTAGAGATAGCTCTAGCTCTGTTATCAACAATACTCGAACCACAACATTCATTTGTTGTAGACTGAATATAATAACTGACATTTTATTACTGGGCCATTCCATCATTTCGAGTGTGAATGTATCGTACGCATAAAATGATGTTTTATTAGTAGATGCACAAAGAAACAGACTATTATTATTATTGAGTCATCAACATATTAATTTATATTTTCTTTTTATAAATACGTAATGTTAAAATATGCTACCAGCAAAGAGAAAATTATGAATACTTAGTCGTTTGCAGTGTTACATTAATTTGTATCTGCTCTTTGACCATTTGCATCAAAATGTATATTTCAGCGAAATTGTTGAGTTTTTAATTAAGTTTTGGATATTTAGAGGCTAGTACGAATTTAAAACAGTTACCTTCCTCATTATGGGTATCATTATCATCATCATACCAGCCTTTACTGTCCACTGCTGGATATAAGCTTTCACCAGAGGGGTATACATTTTTGTCTTGACAATTTTCATTACAGAAATGAAATTACAAATGCTAAATTATAATGAAATTTATATAATAAAATTATAATAAATTAATATTTAATGGTAAAAAACCTAGTTTTCAAATACATAGAGTCCTATTGGGAATTCAAGTACTAAATGCAATTATCTTCTATTTTCTAAATAACACAATACAAAAAACAAATTGACAACCTCGTAAAATATTTAATACGTATATTTTTTAATCTGTGTGTCTCTCTAGCACTTGTTACATACTTACATATTACTTGAAATTCGCCATATTGAACTCTGGCATATTCCCGCCAAATCAAAATTTCGTGTACTTTTATTGCCTTCTGGCTGATATTTGATAAGAAAGTCAAACACTATGGATCATTAATTCTAAAACATGTTATTTACCATCTCCGAAAGCATTTAGATCTTTGATCTCAAAATATCAAGCAACATGTAGTTCTAAAACAATTTAAAATAAATATAAGGCTAGGCTGGTATTTAGAAAACCTGAAGTACTCCACGGAGTATGGAATCTCTTTACTTCCGTTTCACATTTGCTCTTACTTTTATCTGAAACTTTCATCCTTATTAAAACTAACATAACATACCTTAGTTTTTGCAAGTTTGGCATTCTCCTTGCACATTTTTGCGAGCGCATGGTACTCCCCTCGGGCGGCACACAAGATCCATTGCTTCTGTTTTGAATCTAGGGGATCAGTTTCACTTTTCTGATCCAGCTAAAAGAAATAAAAAAATAATCAATTTTAAATTGATAGCAGCGCATAATGATAATGTTTTTTTCATTTAGCCATTTCTATTGACATGTGTTTAAAAAAATGCTGGTAAAACTTAGAAAAATACAGCAAAATTAGCTAGCAAAAAAGCTTTGATTCTTATTGATTTAGCACTTCTTTTATATCTATTACTCTTATTTTAGTGCATATTCTTCTTGAAAAATGTATACAATTCAATCCATATCTTGATGTAATTACAGTATTTAATAGTGTGGAGGATAAATTCATAGATATTTGGATATATTCTGAAGGATAGATGGCAGAAGGCGGGGTATCTCTTTATTTTTATACGAATTTAGTAAGCCATCTACAAGAACAAGTATCCGTAAAGCAAAGGTCGGGCATTCATAAAAATTAGTGCTGTAAATTAGGATAAAATTATATAATAAAATACGTTAATACTAATTCCATATAATAATATGAAACGTATTATGCCAGATTCTACCAATTGCTGCTCTTATATACCAATTTCATTTAAATTTATATAGTCATTTAAGTTTTATTATGTAACAAATATCCAGACTTTTTACAAACTTCCAAGGCATAGTCGGATTGAACGTAATATGAAACTCATTTTGAGAATGGTTACATCTTTATAAGAATAGGCTAATTGACAAATAAATCCATAATTGTTTTATTCTAAAATATCATTAAGTTTTTAATTTCGATGTTCTAATGAAAATAATTTCTTCAATAACATTACTCAAAATCAATAACAATAAATAATAATTACACTTTAAAATTATAACAATATTAACAATTTGCCATCTTAACAATATGCTCTTAATGTTCTTTATTTAATGACGTTGATTAATTAGATGGCTATATAGATGTTGATTAGCGGTTCATTAAAGTAATGTAGTTTTTATTTTAAAATTCTATAAAGACTTCATACTAAAAGACTTATTTTTTATCTATAATTCTTACTATTATTCTAACTGTGAAAGTAAGTTTGGTTGTTCGTTTGTTACCTATTAGCGCCTTGATGGCTTAACTAAACATTATGAAACTCGGTACATACATATGGGTTGGCTACTTATTATTGCGCTCAGTAAACATATCTTGGTTACGCGGACGAAGTCGCGGGTAAAAGTTAGTTTTAACTAAGTCGATTAATCGTGCAATGTCTAGATAATATTATATTATGATTATTTTGGTGTTTGTTACTGAAATTCGATGACGGAGCTAGATTTACGTACAGAGCAATTTTTTGCAACAGTGATAGGTTTGGTAAAACCATTGTAGAATGGTTTTACCAGATTTATCACATTCCAAACAGTTTCAAGAACTATTATTTCTATAGAATCATAATAGGCAAGATCAAAGGTCTAGCGTATTTTTTGAAGCAAAGACATGTTTTATGTTTACTCTTAATTTTAAAATATTCACATTAAAATTAAGAGAAATATTTATTCTGATTATTATTTCCTAATATTGATATATCGGGCTTGAGATGAGTAGAAATTGCACAAAATTATGCTACATACATATTTTTATCCTACATACAAGTTCAAAATTACGAAAACTGAATAATGAATATCACTTATATCGAATCCAAGTATGTATATATTATTTTCTATGTTGAAACTAGATTATCTTGATTATAATAGTCAACACACAGGCAGTTATAAAAAAAATTTAAAAGAAACGTAATTATTTTAAATATGAGCAGTTACTGATCTTTTTCTAAAGTTATGTTATATCTAGTTACAGCACACATAATTCTAACTAGACTAATTATATTTCAAAACGTATAAATAATTACAATTTGTTTTATTCATAAAGATGCTAAATAAGCTAACATAAGCTTAGAGCTTATATTTAAGTATAAGTGAGTCTCCTTGTCTGTCTCGCTCTATTTTTTCTGTTTTAAATTACCAATCTATACACTTTATAATCTAATTAATTTAATGAAAATGATGACTTTAAAAGTTAATTAAGTTCTAAGTAGGATTATAACATAATCTCAACAATCTAACAAAAATATTATTAAGTTCTTAAAGAACATAATTTACACAGTATGTAATTGCCATTCATATGCACATAGAATAGTTAAAGACATTAAAATAATATAAAATGTAAAATTTGAGCTTTCATATCTACTATAATTGCTGAATTCAGAATAAGAGAGTGAAAATGCCACTCTTTATGCATTATCCAAACTTTTCAAAGAAATAATGAACGGACAGAACGGAAAGACTTCAAAATGTCACACAGGTAAAAGAGAAAGCTAGATGTCATGTCGTATAAAGAAGTCAAGAATATGGTCTAAAGTACAGGCAATTGGAAAACATACATGAACTAATTGCTGCGACAAAAAAAAGGACCTCTGAAATGTGAAAGTAAAGAAATATTAAATATATACTTACCGATACTCTGTCTTCTTCGTCCACACCCTGTGAACAAATACACTTTTGTTAATCATCTAAGTTAAAATTATCACCCTACTCTAGTATTAACAGCTTAATAGTAAATGAGTGAGCGGAAGAGCTTTCTTACAATTATTAATTAATATAAATCATATGAACTGACGAAGATTTAAAATTTTGAATTTTTATAATCTAAAGAAAATATCAATTTTTTCACAAGAATTCCTCATACAACGTAAATGAAAATAACCAATAAACATCTCTTAAGTTCTCGCGGGAGCAAAAGATAATAGAAAACAATTAGTTGACTACAATGACCAAATGTCTGCAAAACATAACAGACTGCAGTCTTATAATAGTTAGAATAGGTAAAAATTGCAGGTGGGTTTTTGATGTAATTGAACCGGTATAAGTCAAAACCACATCAAATAAACGTCAAATGGTATAATTGAAACATCTACTTGATGTGTATTCCATGTGATTTCATTTAAATTCCGATTCAATTGTCGAAATATTAGCCTGATAAACAGTGAGAGCATAAACTTAGGGTGCTGAATTAGACCTAGAATCTGATCTGGAATTCAAAGTAGATACACATTAAAGTGCCATTCTACACTAACAAACACTTCAAGCAACGAGTTCAAATCTCACTTGGTTAGTTTTTTTTATCACTCGCATATTAATTTACCTGGTGTTAGAATGTATGTCCGTTGAATGACTCGTGCCTTCGTTGATAGATTAAATTGATAACGGTTGGATATTTTCTGCGTCAATATATCAGCTAGTCTTTGTTTCAATATAGTAATTATTTATAAATTATTGTATCTACTTATAAGAATCGTGGATGAGCATGCGATAGTTATGTAAGGACAGAGGTCGTTGGCATTAGTTTTTCTCTATTTACCTCATATCTAGCGTGGAGATATAGATAGATAATAACGTTCAAACTTAAGTCTGTAACAGTAAAAATGTTGTAGGAAAGGTGGTCTTATTGGCCTTATTTGTGCCATGATGTGATGCTTACCGTAATTTTCTGGATTTAATTTTATACAATACGGAACATTTTGCATTTAGGTAACTAATCACAAAAATAGATTGTACTGTTTTTTTCTTTAATTACAAATCAGTTTTGAATCAAAATCCATTACTTTATTTTTAAATTTGATTTGAAATATGCAAATAGAGACATAAAGCGAAAAAATAAATTATAAATTTTGCCGTAGTCTGTATTGTAGTAACTACTCTTTAAATGTCATTTTCCAAGTTGTAAACATGCGACGCAACATTAGATAAGTTGTTAACTACATGATAAAGACTTTGATCAAATTGTTGATCGAGAATTATGGAGGGTTAGACTGCTCTATCCGAAGGGACTCGGGGAAGATATTAGGTACTAATATGAGGGCTACAGATTCGAAACCGAATGAACAAACGCATTTTTTAATCTGAATCGATTGAAACTAAGAAAATAATATAAAAAAAGCAGCGACCGCCTGGTCCAGTCCGGAAGCTAAACGTATAAATTATGGAATTATGGCCATGTTTAATCATTATTGATTAATAACAAAGAATGCATTGTCTACATTAAAGGGATTAGTTAAATGTATTCCTTTACATTTTATTTACAATATCTAGATAATATAGTTAAAAGAGTAACTATAACATCAATATAGGTGTACTTAAAGTCTGAAAACAAAAGATTAGGATTATAAACAAAGACCATATTTACATACATAATAAATATCTTAACGACACATATAAATTAATCGGAACCTAATATTTCAAAATTAATAAATGAGTACTTATATTGTGAAAATAATATTTTGAATTAATGGTCAATAAATTCGAATTCTCCCGTCTTCAGGCTTGCGCTGCTATTGACTTAACACAACCCATATATTATGTGGACAGTAAATAAAAACTTAATTAAAACCTAAATGAAATTATAATACAGTTGAGTTTTGTACGATGGATTGAAAGAGTTGAACGCTTATTCGCCGGAAAGCTCGGCGTGCGCTGCCCAGCATGACCACTTTACCACCTGTCGTTAGATATTTATGTCTACACTATTGACTTCACTGTTAGGGACTTCGATATTGACAAGATAACATCCTTAATGTGATGTGTATGATTTAATAATAAGATTATGTTTGTACGTAGTACGTTTTTTAATGTGCCGAGACAATTAAGCGTTTAGAATGGCGTTTGGTATTCCGCAACGTTTATTGCTCCGAGTACTAATTTCGCTTAAGCAAAGACGTGAACGGAACAAGTCGACATAAAACAATTTAAGAATGTAGTCATAAAAAAGACTTCAATTGTGACAAAATCAGTTATTTTGATTTCGAAACAGATACTGATCTAATTTTGATACAATTTCTACCAATCTGTAAATCATTTTAAATAAAAAAAAAGAATTTTCCAAATCAGTATATAAGTAACGGAGTTATGAGGTTACAAACATGAAAAAATACAACCGAATTTAAAAATATAGAATTACTAACAGAATATTACTCATTTGTCTGTAGTATAAGTAGTTTGTTCCGTAAAAAAACCGTTGTTTTCATCATTATAAAACACCTCGTGAATGACAATAATAAAAAAACCTGAATCCGGAATCCTTTGTGTATTTATAGGTACTATTATAAAATTCCTGATAGATTGACTCATCAACGCATATCTGAAACTACTCGTACTAAAGCTAGATAATCAAATTTAGATAGTAGATACTACATAAGTAATAAGAAAGGATTTTAAGAAATACTACTCCTAAGGATGTAAACATAGGGATGGATGTTTGTATGAGAAAATATGTTTGTTTAATAGGTTTATTCGAAATTAATTATATATATCTATCTCTTTTATAAAAATAAAGACACCTAATTTCAGTATTTCCCAAAATTCATCTTCAAATTGTATTAAATAAGAAATGAAAGTTAATGTAAAAAATACTTTTCTATATTAAGAGTAAAATTAAAAAAGGACCTAATAATAATCACGAAATTACGGCAAAATATTTATTCGATTACTTTCTTCATAAAATTCGGTATATATATAAATAAAAAAAGAAACGTATAATAAACTCGCCCTTTTTCGGTTGTAAATAAATACGTTTTGGACAAAATGTGAAAGTTTGTAAAAATTTTTGTATGTTTGTTACTAAACGGATATGAATGTCTTACTTTAATACAAGATGCTTCATATACGGGAGCATAGCCGTGGGAAACAGCTATTATCCTATATATATCGCAACAAACAGTTTTTCGGCAGAAAAAAAGGTAGTTTCAATTGTCTCAAAATTATAACTTCCCTATATTATTCCCTTGTTAGATGTATATTAATATTTTTAAGTTATCAAAACTGATTCAGATTTAGCAATGTAATTCCGCAGCCTAATTACAAAAGAAAACACGAAACAAGAATATCCTTCTTAAAAAAGATAATAGAATCCAGCACATTCCTTGTGAATTCTGATAAAAAATAAGAGATGATTTTCTAAAATACATTATATTTTAGAATATATTTTGTATTGCTGTATACATTTTTTAAGCGAATAATGAAGAATGAATAAAACGTTGTATGTATTTATTTATCGTAATGTTCTTGGATTTATTTTCACTAGCAATATTGATGTTGTAAAGTTGTTCGATTCAAGTTCTATCCTAAATTTCTATTCAATTCTTTTTAATTGTCAATTTTTGTCAGTATACTATACTACTAGTACTATTTAATGACATTTTGTTTTGACAACTTGAAAATTGTCACCATTCAAGATCAAAATTCGAATTGCTTCGACGACTTCTATATGCTACGACATCTTCGCGGATTTTATCATATAAAACGTGCTACTAAGCATATGAGGATAGCGTTTTCTGGCGTCAGACTACTTTAAGTTATCACGAATGCTGACGTGGACTAAGAATCGTGTAGAGCTTCAAAAGCTTGAAGCGACAGTAATTTTTATATGATCCGAATATTAATTTGAAACCCATGTTTAGACTAGGATTTGATATTGGGACCCTGTGACACTGTTATCATGGCCACAACTGGAAGTAATCTGAGTTATTACTGCTTAAGAAGTTAGGTGTAAACCTACTGACACTCGTGTAGATTTTATGCAAAAAACTTTTATTTAGATATGGCGGGCGTGATTAATTTGATGTTTAAAATTTCAAGGTATACTAATGGAAGATATAAAAATTTGATAATTACCGACCAAAACGAATTGCACAATTAAAGCAGCATCCCAGTTACTGAACAGAATCGAGTAGACTATGTTTATTGCTACAATCGATTGGGGTGAAATTCCCGAAGTAGCAGTAATTTTATGGCTATCAGAACAGTGGAATTATGGCTGTGGAGCCTAAAAAATGTTATTGTTTTAAATATAAGTGAGAGCATATGCGACGCTGGCGCGGCGCGGCGATGCGTCGCCGAGCGCGCGCCAGGCGTGCGGGCTGCGGTCGCGCGACGGGACGCCGCGGCCGCGCTGAGCCGTTCGCGCTGGGCGCATAATGGTGATGACGGCACTCCACGATCGATACACGTCACATATTCACTTCTATCAATAGACTTTATTGCTCATTTGGTCAATAATTTGAAAAGTATCAAGATATATGTACAAATCTCAGCCACAAACTTTAACAACTAATAAATCACCACTGCAGCATTGACGCAAGCAGACAATGTATATACGAGTATATATCAAGTACTAACTAGCCTATATTCAGGAATCTGCAACATCATATTAGGCACTTGCAATATGTGATATTTGAATACCTCTTAAAAGCTCGAAAGTTATTTAATCCAAAAATTATAATATCCTTTGTAAATTCTAAAAAAGATCCCTTAAACATATATCCACTATTTCATATTTTCTAATACACATGTTGCATCAACAGCTATATATTTTGCTTGCAGTAGTTAAAATAGATTGTATTAGGTGAGAATTCATGATATGATGAAACTAAGTCGAGATAAAATCAAAGAATTTAGTCGGAACAACGGCATAAGGAAGAGATATCAAA